ACGGTAAAGTTGGGCGGGCAATATCGACCCAAGTGGAATTAAAATCATGGCGCGAGGCGGGGCGTTTGTAGCTTAGCCGTTAGAGAATTGGCCTCCGGCAAAGACCTCTGATGCGCGGGTTCAACTCCCGCCAACCGCCTCGAGTTTTTCACACAATTGGGTCAACTCAAATTTAAATCAAAAAACACAAATGAGAGTCACCGTATTATGCCATTTGCACTGCATTTCAAATGTGCATTATCCTTCGGACAAACAGTAGACAGTGCATGCGTTCACATAAAAGTACTTACATTGCCTTCGGTGATTAATAGAATAGACAACTCTATTTATATCCGAGGGCATGCAAGAAATTGCACTTTTAACGTGCAGCGCGTATACATGATTGGTACCCTTAACTGTAGTTTTAATGCAGGCTAACAGCAGCGTTATTTCTTGCTCTAGTTCCGCGTGGACTACATAGGGTTTCTGAAGACTCATATGTAGTAGTATGCTTGAAGATAAACGAAGCCTCTAAGGCAATTTATAAGGTCCCACCAAACTACCCAATGTCCCTGGGTCAGCGTTTGCTAGCAACAGCAGAAGAAACGGCGATCCGGTTGAAGAAGCCGGCTTTGTGCGCGCAAAAGAACCTCCTGCAAGCTCCGAGCTTGGCATGGCCAACGGTCGCATAACTGCCTGCATCTTTCTGCGCTTCCTCCCTAATCCCACCCTTCCCCCTGTCCGAACTCAACAAACCCTCATCGCCTCGCAACCAGCAAACTAAGAACCTTAAATTATAGGGCGCCGCGATATCATTAGGTAAACTGCAGAACTTTAATACTGAAAGTTAGGATAAGACACGGCAATAGAAGACTCCCTGCCCCGGAGCCCTGCGCAAAAGTGTAAGAAAGGTAAATAGTATCGAGCCATTACATTACGCCCGACCTAAACCTTGAACTTAACCTCAATCCTAGCCCTGAGCTCAACGACACACAGTTAGCGCAACACTCCGGAATAGGGGGAGGGGAGACATTGCTGTGCCTCGCCAAAAGTACTGCCGTCAAGAGAAAAAAATACTAAGCATGGCCTGGAGTCCAAAATGCTAGAGAACGCATCTGTACGCAGCACAGGCTCGCTTCAAAGTACGGAAGGCAGAAGCAGAAGCGCTCCGGCACACGAAGTA